AGAGAGAGAGAGAGAGAGAGAGAGAGAGAGAGAGAGAGAGAGAGATATGGGAGGAGGAGGAGGGAGGGTGCAGAGGACGTCTTGAGCTTAAGCGAGACATAACTGCATCGCGTCTCCGGACCAGCTGAAGCATTACATTATGACTGAACAGGCAAGTGTGAGCTGGTGGACTGTCACTGTGTACTTTTTCGGTGTTGACAAGATTTTCCCCTTTTCCTCCCACAGCACCACCTCTCCGTTTGTCTGCTGCATCTGTAGGGCAAAGTGGAACCTGGCTGTGTTGTTATAGTCTGATGGCTGTGTTTATTATAACTGCCCCTAATCCACTTTTAATGAACCCTCCTCCCCCCCGACACCCTGAGCTGTCTGCGCGTGGGATGAACACTGATCGAGGCGGAGAGATCTCGGCCTCACAGCAGAGAACCGATTGGAAATGACTTCTGCAACGCCACATTGCATCCGTCTCATTTCTCACAAAACTGCTGCAGTCGAGCAAATGTTTGTTTACAGCCCCAAAACCTTATTTTTAATAGCTTCTAACTTTTAAGAGTTAAAAGCGTGTGCATCCCTGGACTTTAGTCGGTTTCCCCAGAGGCAGGACGCCTCATGTGGATATTGCATGTATTAAAGATGGCTTCTCTTTGACTTCAGCTTAGCAGGGCAAATCCAGGGAACTGTTGTTAAACTGTCTTTGTTGACGAGGCGTGTGCGTGTTGTTTGTTCTGCAGGAGTCGTATCGCCAGGTGATGAAGATGAGGCCGAAGGACCTGTGGAAACGGCTCATGGTGAAGTTCAGAGGGGAGGAGGGGCTCGATTACGGAGGAGTGGCCAGGTAAGAAGCCACAGCAGAGGAAGAGCATTGACCACACAGGCTCACACAGCACTCTGCCTCTTAGTGGACGAACCGAAGACCACAACTCACTCACCACTGTTTTTTTTTTTTTTCGGTTTCAGTTTAAGTAAGCATGCTCTGAACTCTGTATCCTATTGTAAGTCTTGTTTTCGTGCTGTACTCTGTATGCAGGGAGTGGCTCTACCTGCTGTCGCACGAGATGCTGAACCCGTACTACGGCCTGTTCCAGTACTCCCGCGATGACATCTACACGCTGCAGATAAACCCCGACTCTGCCGTCAACCCTGTGAGTCACAGTCATCGCTGACAACATGCCAAAAAAATAAAAAACCTTCTCATGTGTCAGTTTTAGCAAAAAATTAAAATAACTCTTTTCACGGGTGAATCTTTATAATCTTCATAAATCATTTTTGGCCTTATCATTCCTACTGGATTTCAATGAGTCTATGGCCGGTATGATCATGAAAAAGGCGTTAAATTGCAGTCTGTTTGGTCCTAAAAAGTATTGCATTTTATTTTGTAAAGACTGTAGAAGCCCTGATAAGCCTCCCAAACATGCAAGACCTTCAGTTGAGACACGGCTGGCTTAAGTTACATCTTCTTATCTTACTCAACATCAACGCTCTCTCTGTTTGTCCATGTGACATGATCTTGTTGATAGACTTGAAACGTGTGCGATGCAGCTGTTGTGTTGAGACTGTGCCGTTGGGTTGTTTACCGCTTGTATCTTGTAGAATTTGTTGGTTAGTCAAAGGGGAATTCAGTGGTATAATATTGTGAACAGTCTGCTTTAAACACCGCTGTCTGCTTCATTTGGAAACGAAGGATGTTTTTGTCTCCCCTCAGGAGCACTTGTCATACTTTCACTTTGTTGGCCGTATCATGGGGATGGCGGTGTTCCACGGCCACTACATCGACGGAGGCTTTACTCTGCCCTTCTACAAACAGCTGCTGGGTAAACCCATCACCCTGGACGACATGGAGTCTGTTGACCCTGACCTGCACAACAGCCTCGTGTGGATCCTGTACGTACAGGAAAGTCGATAACAGTGTTGACTTCTCCGTGTGAATGAAAAGTGGATCACCAATTACAGCACAATGTTATGCTCTGCATTCCTGTCCACACAACAAAGAAGTCATCTCTACTTGCAAAGAAAAATATGCAATTTTAGTGTAAATGTCACAATGTTTTAAGTCGATTTTACTGCTGTTGCCCACATGAAAAGCTCTCTCCTGTACTTTGATGACAGCGCCCCCTGGGGTTTTTGAATATTTCTTACATCAGTGCTCCCTGAGCACATGTTTTCACACCATATGTATGTGTGTTTTGAATTCAGCTTAAAGGGACAGTTCACCACAAAATTACAAATAAATATTTTTCCTGTTACCTGTCGTACTATTAATCAATCTAGATTGTTTTGGTGTGAACTGCCAAATTTTGGAGATATCAGATTTCTCTCCAATTTAAAGGGACTATATGGCACACTGCTTGTGGTGCTCAAAGCGGCAAAACAAATACATTTGAAAAACTCAACAGTAATGTCTCTTTCCAGAAATCATGACCCGGTTAAACCATGATAATCCACAGACCATGTTGTAACAAGTTTCATGTAGGAACTATTTTCTTTCCACCGAACTACCAACTCTAACACCGCGCAGAAGGAAGCATGCAATTATATTGGATACTGTTAGCTCACCTAGCACCACTGAGCTAGCTACGGTTACATGAGTAACGGTTGGCAGATGTATTTCATTAGAAAGAAAACAGTTCTTACATGAAACTGCTCCCAACAAGGTCTCTGGATTATCTTGAGTAACCAGGTCATGATTTCTGGAAAGAGATGTTGCTGTTTAGCTTTTCAAATGTACCTCTTTGGTGCTTTGAGCAAAACAAGCCGAGTGCCATAAAGTCCCATTGTATTGGAGAGAAATCAGACGTCTCTACATCCAAAACCAGGCAACTCACACCAAAACAGTCTAGATTGATAAATAGCACTCCAGGTAAGAGGATTTTAGGGTGAACTGTTGCTTTAACTTCACATCTGTTGGTGTCACCGATCAGCACGCATTCAACAAAAAGGAGCTCACTAGTGTTTTGTTGGAATGACCAAGCCCTTTGTATTTATTTATTTATTCTTACCAATAGTGTGCAAAAGCCCCTTGTTGTCCTCACACAGTCATTCAAATGTGTATCTCTCTTCAGGGACAATGACATCACAGGTGTGCTGGACCACACCTTCTGCGTGGAGCACAATGCCTACGGAGAGATCATCCAGCATGAGCTCAAGCCCAACGGCAAGAGCATCCCCGTCAGCCAGGACACCAAGAAAGAGTACGTGCGGCTCTACGTCAACTGGCGCTTTCTGCGAGGCATAGAGGCCCAATTCCTGGCTCTGCAGAAGGGCTTCAATGAGGTCATCCCCCAACACCTGCTCAAGGCTTTCGATGAGAAGGAGCTAGAGGTACTTTGATTAATCCTCACGTCTCTTTGTCGTTTACACACGCATCTAGATTTACCTCCAAGTGCATTAAGTCCCAACTTATCGTAACAATTTTCCAAAACGTCCACGGCTTTCCTCGACCTGCAGCTGATTGTATGCGGCCTGGGTAAAATCGACATCAACGACTGGAAGTCCAACACGCGGCTCAAGCACTGCACCCCAGAGAGCAACAACGTCAAATGGTTCTGGAAAGCTGTGGAGTCCTTCGACGAGGAGCGCAGAGCCCGGCTGCTGCAGTTCGTCACCGGCTCCTCCAGAGTTCCCCTGCAAGGCTTCAAGGCCCTCCAAGGTGATAACACCCAGGAGGAAAACTGTGCACGCTTTTGTTACGTGAACGTAGGTATTGCTAAGCAGCAAATGCCAGGAAAGTCCTACGTCTGAAAGTGCTCCTGAAATATCTTGCCTTCAGTTAAAGGTACAACATGAATGTTAATGTCAGGTCCACAATGTGCAAAGGTGCAGTAGTGAAGTCTTTGCTGTTCCTTTGTTGTGCACACAGTGCGCTCCACATGTGTTTTGGGATTCTTTGCTTCCCTGTGTCTCTGGGTTCCTCTGACCTGACATGAACCGTGAGTCTGCGTTGTAGTGCAGCGGTTCACCCGGTCCACGCTGGCAGACGATGCTGCCCAGAGACAGAGCACCCAGGCACGAGGAGTCCACAGGCAGACGGCGCCCTCACACACCTTATGTAACACTGCCTTCCTTTCATGGTCAAAACATCTGCAAGCGGGACACATGGCTGCAGTCAAGGGACAAAGTCAGCTCAGCCAGTGCTGCACGGTATCTAAATACTCTGCAGCACTATGTGTTGTTGGGAATTGTCCTCAATAAGCAAACATCAAGATGTGTGTCAACTGAAGATGAAACGTGTAACAAACGACAACTCGGTCAATAACCTCAAGTCTTGACGCCGTCTGTGACACATTTGTGTCTCTTATTGTATGGAAGCAAAGAAAGGCCATAAATAATGATCATTTAACAAGCAACTGAATATTTTATTTATCCACAACTTTACATTTAGATGCCACTGAAGGTTTTGCACTGAAATATTTTACTTTGAAAACCGTATGTCTTCAGGCTCATTCCAAGGTGTGTAATTTCAAAAAGTTAAATTCAAATGTCCACTGGGTTTCCACTGGACTTTGCTTTCTCGGGGAGTCTGAAAGGATCGGACGGGGGTTCTGGTTGATTCCCTTCAGGCTTGTTTGATCGTCCTTGCTGACCTGGATGTTCAAGTTTGATCTACTGAATCTGAGCAACTTGAAAGTAGTTTCTGAGACCGTGACCCGGACAGTGCGGAGCAGGTGTGCGGAGGTCCACTTTTACTAAACTGATTGTGTTCATTCATGTAGGTGCTGCTGGCCCTCGACTCTTTACCATCCACCAGATTGATGCCAGCACCAACAACCTGCCCAAAGCCCACACCTGGTGAGGAAACCTTCACACTGTTTGACACGGTGGAGTCCGAGAGGGAAGAGAAGTGTTGAGGGTAGTTAATACAGTAGAAACCTCTCGACCGGTACTCTTGTTTCAAACACTTTTTAAATGACTGTATGAATTACATTATTGTACTATGTATAATTCAAATACACTATAATACAGTACAGCACATATATACCATATAAGCACATATATACATTTGACTGTATTCCAGATTATGATTAGGCTGTGGCCTTAAACAGTATTGTGCCGTTTACAAATACCTTAACGTCAGTACTGCAGATAGGCTGCTAAACCACAGCTTGTTGCTGGTTTCAGTGCATTTCTACATTTAACAAGCCTGGAAATACATTTTAGACTATTAATGCTGAACTGGTATTGGAATTTAAAAACAAACGTATTCATAAAATATAGAATCATGGGAGTAATATTTAAGAAAAAAGTAGAATTACCGTAGTTTGAGTGTATGAAAAAGACCCCAAATGAACACTGTAAGCAGACTACGTGATTACTATGAGCAGATTATTTAAACAGGAATCATTCTGTCCCAATCTTTGTGATCCATATAAGCGGTTTCCACTATATTATCAAACCTCTTTATGTTTGACTTTAGTCACGCGCTATGCAGCAGCGCAGCGATTCAGAACAAAATATGATTTTTAAACCTGTCTTCCCTTTCCATTTTTTTTTTCAGTTTTAACCGGATCGACATTCCTCCCTACGAGCAGTACGACAAACTGTACGACAAGTTGCTCACTGCCATCGAGGAGACGTGCGGCTTCGCTGTAGAGTGAGTCCCGGCAGAGCTCAAGTAACGACCAGAAGCAACATGAATTGGCCATGACGAGCCCCCTGAAAATCAATCCACTCCGACAGACGGGGGGGGGGGGGGCCTTCCACAGTTGCTTCACCCAGGGGGACGCCCATACTTCCCGGGGACATGTGGCCCAAGCTAAGGGAGGGTGGGCAGAGAGGACCAGAAAATGTCACCGGACTCTGGTTTTCCTTTTGAGACCCTCCAGCCCTCCTTCACATCTTCTTTTATTATTGAAAAGGATCTCTTCAGCTGCTAATAACTCAGACTATTTACTAACCCGTGGAACTTGCAAAGTCGCTGGCTCTTCCCTTTTTTTTTAAAATCCAAGTTCATTTTAGCATTTAAAAAATAAAAGATAGACTGTATTCCATGTAGCAATGCTCCACCTTACCAAGCAGAACACACGGTCGGTGCACTCTGAAACGACATGAACAAGACTGGTTTGTTTGCTGGAGCACAGGGTCATTAAAGGTTCCCTCCACCACTTGAAAACACTAAACTTTGAATCTGACTCGTGCTGTTTGGTGCCTCAGAGTGTTCACGTTGGGGCTATTGGTAAACGCCCAAGGCTGGAAAACAGGGATGTGTGCGGATGACGAGGCAAAGACTAGAGGCTGAATTAGCCCGAGCCCGACTGTTTACAACCCTCTCCAAAGACGGCAGCGGGGACCTCTGCCCCCGAGTCGCTGCCCAACACGTAGCGCTTCGTTTCCCACAAACCTATTTCGCACGTTTGACGGCTAGTTTTGTTTAAAAAAAAAGAAGAAAAATGGGTGAATACATGAATGAATACCTTGAAATGTGTTATTTTTATATAACAAGCGGGGGAATTGAAAAAGAAACAATACGATTCTATATAATATATATAATTTATTGCTGTTATATTCCCCTATCCATTGTTTAAGAAAAAAAACAAGATCTTTTAAATGTTACGTTTTGCTGTTTAAATTATAGAAGACAATTTGTGAAGACCGAACTAAGCTCGACTGATTTTTACTTAAGAATGCTGTGGTTTTATTTCTCGACACAACCTCTCACACACTGTGCAAAGGAGAGGTGCGTCTTTAAAGGGCAAACACACCTTCAACACACAGTGTCCTCTGAGTGCCGTGATCATTTCAGAATGAAAGAATCTTTGCTGATATCGAGCGAACCCTTTAAATTCTACTGATTTCATTCTGGAGCTACACGTGGTGAGATGTTCCCCGACTGTTACAGCTTTTTTTTTTTAACACTTTGTCATTTGTAGCTGGGCTATATTAATGTCACTAGCATGAAACCTCCCATCCTTTTTCTAACGGCATTCTGTTTCAGAAGAGTCCAAAGCTCCATCGTCGTCTATTTCATGCTGCCTCCACTTTGTCGTTGTTCTTGGAAAAAAGAAAAAATAACCTCTACTACCTTCTCGCCATGTGGTGCTAAACAGCATTAACTTTTGTCTGATATTGGCAACCTTACTCATCGACGTACTACTGCTTAAAGTGCACACTGCGCTTCTCGTGCTCACACCCGTTTGTGGCCGCATACCATTCCCTAGCAATCAAGAGCTCCAGCTGGCCACATCCTCAGGAGACGTCGCATGTCAGTTTGAAATGTCCTTCGATTCGACGACCGACGAGGAACTAATTCTGACCATTTGTCTTTCCTGAATGTTAAAAAAAAAAAAGTCGTAGTTTTAAATTGTTTTTTGCCCACAGCCGACCATTAACACACAGTAACCGGTGCATGAGTCCATGTGTGCTTTTCTGAATGAGATGGATCCTGTTTAGGCCTGCTACACAGTCCCATCAGTGATGTTTCTATTTAGAGAGAGGGGGGGGGGGGTTGTTTTCTACGATTTACAAATGAAATTCTTGAATGATTTCAAAAAAAAAAAAATGCTGTCTGTCTAGCAATCTCTATGACCGTGGACTGTTCTTTTAAATTTGCATACACTTAAAGGAAAGAAAAAAGAAACTGTTCATTGTCATTTCTTTTGTATGTGGACAAGTGTATGCAAAGGAAGGTGTCCTCAGATGGTGCTTTGTACAGTCATAAGATATTGTTCATGTATGTGGATCAGACGACCTGTAATTTATCTTTAACTTAAGTGGGAAAAATGAAAAGAGGAATTGCACACGAACAGAATGAGGTTGCCATGTGTATTTAACAGTGACTTTTTTTTTTTTTTTTTTAAGCAGATATTCATTCGCCTTTTAAGTCCAGTGCACAAGTTGATGGCCCTACTGTCTGTTCCTACACTACACCGCTCTGCATCGCCCCGTAGCTGCCGCTCATCAAACAACTTGTTGTTAAACTAGTGACAGTTGAGAGATGCTGCTCTTGTTTTGTTTTTGTTTTAATCGCATGATCCACTAGCAGGACTATATCTCTCATAGCTGACTGATACAATTTGATGTATGTTAACACTATCATTTTGTAGAGTATTTTATTTTTGTGTGTAATTAGTTCTAATTAAACTTGCCTTTGTCTAACAATGTAAGGCCTTGTACAAATATATGTCCTGTGCTTTTGCACCTCTTTGATTGGCTGTTTCAAATGTCATAAAAGCTTCTTTTTCTTTTAGTGCTTCAACAAGTCCTTTGGTCCAGCAATTATTCAGATTAGATCAATGTATCAGGGGCATGTGAGTACTGTACTGTACTGAGAGTAACTATCAAGTGTGGGGGGGGGATGCAAATACTCTTTCTTTACATCTGAATGTCCCTCGTCTCTGACCACCAACTGTGTCCTCACTGATACCACTCTGGATTAACACATCTGGCAGATGGCTCTTAGGGGGGGCAGGGAAAGGGGGTAAAGACAATGGATGAAGCTGTTGGAAAATAAGGTGTCAAGTACAGTTTGTGTTCTTGAAAACAGTCCGTCTACACAGACTGGAAGGACAGAAAGTGAGACTTCATCAGGGTAATAGTGGTTCATATTTTGATGGTACCATGTGTAATCACTAGTATAAGGAATAAGTATGTCAAATATGTACATACATGTAGTACATACGAAATACACAATGTTTGTGTATTTTTTCTTGCATATAAGCCACTTGTAGAGAATTGATACACATATTCTTATATACAGTATGTGTATATATATATCTATATATATAGATGTATATATGTTCATGTTGTAGTACCGCAATAATGTAAGAAAAAAATAGTTTTTTAGGAATTTAGTTAGTGAGTAAATGTCACTCTCACTGAAAGTGTAGTCTTTTTGGTCCACCATTGAGTTTAGAGGCAGCCTGGTTGACTTCTGTTCATTTTCCTCTGGAAGAAAACTGCTTTCTGTTTTTTTCCCCACACTTTGAACATCAGAATCCCATTTTGTATCTTTAATCTAGGCATATATTAACTTCTTAACATTTGCTTATATACTTATTCCAACAGAAGTTAGGTGAACTTTATTACTCGGGTCTAATTAAAAGAAAAATACAAAAAAGAAAAAAGTAGCCTTTTTCATGTTTGGGTTGGTCCTGATGACGTCATTTACCGTAACGTCAGAGCGTTGTCCGAGCCGGATTACCAGTCTCTTGTTTCGTACATATCCTTCCGCTTGACTCCGCCAACAGTTATTGAAATTTGTATCAAAAGAAAAAAAACGTGAAACAATATAAATGTAAGAGAAAGTGCAAAACATTACATATATCGTTTATGTAACGTTAGAGACTTATTTTGGATAGGCTCTAACGTTACGTAAGTGGTGATGTAATTTGAGAATAACTCACTTGTGTTTTTCTCTGTGCTCTAATATAACTTGTATAATATATTCAGTGGAGGGTTAGGGGATCCATATTTACTATTCTTGATAAGAGTTATAGTGAACTTAAAGTACGGTTTCACCGGTCTGCAATGGGTCTATGTTTCCAGTCGGCAGAAACTGAAGTAAACCGTCTGGCGGATGAATACATCGGAAGTGGGACTTCCTCTTGCCATATATACCGGGTCTAATTTTTACATTACCGGCATTCAGCACCACTGCCGGGCGAGTTTTTAGTCGGTGGTCAAACCACAGAGAAGGGTATTTATCTTTTTTATTTATAAAACTTGTTTACAGAATGCCTGGATATTCCGACAGAGACCGCGGCAGGGATAGAGATAGAGGGTGAGTATCATTAATTATGTTTTAGACGAGCTTCTTCCTCGTGTGATTCGTAGAAATGGCTGACAAGACTCTACCAAGAAAAATTAACCGATGGGTGAAATAGCGTTTTATTTTAGAAGAATGACTGAATATTGGTATTTTTGTTTGTTTCGTAACCGAAATCCTATCATTTTGAAAAGCAGTTGGTTGTCTGTCCTTTTCTTTAAACCGCACAAGGCCCCGGATGTTTAACGGGCCCGTTGTCTTTGGCTCGAGGCCTAGTTTGGCCTCGTGCCCCCGCACAGCGGCTTTTCGTTAGCTTTAGGCTAACGTTAGCCTAACCGTAACTCGGCCTTACATTCCACTGCCACATGCAACTCCTTTACTCAATACAGGCTGTGAATATCATCTGACTGCTTTTGTAAAACATGTCCTCTATAATGCAGCCACGTCGTTAATGATATTCACTCGTTTGCTTACATAAGTCCATGTGCTGCTCCAGCCGGCTTGTCGGCTTTTCGCCATGTGGCGGCATGAATGCGGATACAAAATGCCGGCTATTTTCCATTGTTCCTCTACTGGTTGGAAAGTATATGGCAGCTAACGTAATGTATTTTCACAGAATGACGCAGTTAAGATGGACTTATTATTGTTGAATATTGCGGTTGGCCACCGCACGGGACATGAGTGTGCCCAGTCTTTTTTTTTTTTCTAAACCACGACCTAACTGTTGATTTAATTGCAGCTATGGCGGCAGCGGTGGTCCTCCTCGCTTTGGAGGGAACCGTGGCGGCGGCGGCGGTGGAGGAGGAGGGGGAGGAGGAAAGTTCGGCAATCCCGGTGAACGACTGCGGAAGAAACAATGGAACATGGACGAGCTCCCAAAGTTTGAGAAAAACTTCTACCAACAGCATCCAGATGTTGCCCGGAGGTCTCCGGTATGTAACGGCGACAGTCGGCATGGTCCATGATATGTTACGTAACACACTTGAAACGAGCTCCCTCCTGCACGTGGCAGGGTTATGCAATCGGTTATGGCCACTGAACTCTTCATTCATTCTTATCTTGCAGCAAGACGTCGAAGCATACAGAAGGGCCAAAGTAATTACATTTAAGGGACGAGAATGCCCAAATCCTATTGCCAAGTTCCACGAGGCCGCCTTTCCATGTAAGTTAAAAATAAATTGGTGAAATGTATCACAGAAGGTATAGTGCATCTCTGTTAATTGTTTGTCTTTCCTTCAGCGTATGTGATGGATGTGATTAATAAACTAAACTGGAGTGAACCAACACCCATCCAGGCTCAAGGCTGGCCCCTGGCCCTCAGTGGCAAAGATATGGTTGGCATTGCACAGACTGGCTCTGGCAAGACGCTTTCCGTAAGTTAAATGTTCTCTCTCTCTCAAATTTGTTCTGAAAATAAAATACTGCATTTATCTCTACTGACCCGTGGCTCATATATAAAACGGTGCATAGGCTTTTATTTTTTACAATTGAAACATGCTTAAGGAATAAGGTGTGCTCCCCCTTCAAAAAAGCACTTTCTTTGTCAGCTCAGTGACTCGGGGAGTTGTCGTAGAAGGGCATATTACCTCATCACTGTGGGTGAGATGGCAGCGACACTATGGCTGACTAATCTCAATCAGTGATGAGACATGAATACAACAATCTTCAGAAACACTTTCCGGTTTCTTGTTTATTTCCTCTTCTGTTTGTGTTCTACTTCCATCCTTCAGTGGAAAAAACTAAGTAAAAAAAAAACAACTAAGTGACTCTATAAATGACTTGCAATAAGATGGCTGGCTTCAATTCATCATCACTTTGCCAGTTTCAACATTTGTCTAGCTCATTGAAGTGACTGTTGTGTCTTTTCCTGCAGTATTTGCTGCCTGCAATTGTGCACATCAACCACCAGCCATTCCTGGAACGTGGAGACGGCCCCATCGTAAGTAGTCACTGCAACGGCTCACCTGTTTTCAGGCATTTTATCTGATGGAAAATACATGATCCCCCTTCAAAAAAGCACTTGCTTTGTCTGCTCAATGACTCGGTGAGTTGTCGTAGAAGGGCATATTACATCACCACTGTGGGTGAGATGGCAGTGATACTGTGGCTGACTAATCTCAATCAGTGATGAGACAACTCTTGAATAAAACAATCTTCAGAATCTCTTCCTGGTTTCCTGTTTATTTCCATCCTTCAGTGGAAAACAAATAATAAACCTTTTCGATTCATTGAAACACATTTTATTAGAAATGGGTGAACCATGTGACGAGTTACATCCTGACGTTCTTTATTTCAATTCTGGGAACTGAATGAAACATGTAGCTGTGTGCTGAAAAGTTATATTTTCGCTCTCGACAGTGCTTGGTGTTGGCCCCGACCCGTGAGCTGGCACAGCAGGTGCAACAGGTGGCTGCAGAGTATGGCAGAGCTTCTCGCCTGAAGTCCACCTGTATCTACGGAGGAGCACCCAAGGGACCCCAGATCCGTGACCTGGAAAGAGGTATTGTAACTAATAATTTGTAATACATTTTGAAAATATGTTATGCGAGTTGAGTTCTCATAAATAATCTCTTAATCATTGTAGGTGTGGAGATCTGCATCGCCACTCCAGGGAGGCTCATCGACTTCCTCGAGTCAAGTAAAACAAACCTCCGTAGATGCACTTATCTTGTGCTGGATGAGGCCGACAGAATGCTTGACATGGGATTTGAACCTCAGATCCGGAAGATTGTTGACCAAATCAGAGTATGTTTTTGCTTTACTTTGATGGGCTGTAAATGTAAACGCAGAAGTTCAATGCCAGGCTAGATGTGTGGTACTTGAAGGTAATGTGTTGCTAACTGATTCTATTTTTGTAGCCCGACCGCCAGACACTGATGTGGAGTGCCACTTGGCCCAAAGAGGTCCGTCAGCTGGCAGAGGACTTCCTGAAGGAGTACGTCCAGATCAATGTTGGGGCCCTGCAGCTCAGTGCCAACCACAACATCCTGCAAATTGTGGATGTCTGTAATGATGGAGAGAAGGAAAACAAGTGAGTAATGTGGTTTTGAAGCAGATGTTTTCATAATGGCTTCAGGCGAAAGTTGTGCATTCTTTACAAACATTTTTTGACGGTGATTTTTCTTTCTAGACTCATTCGTCTGCTTGAGGAAATCATGAGCGAGAAGGAGAACAAGACCATCATCTTTGTAGAGACAAAGAGGCGCTGTGATGATCTCACCAGGAGGATGAGAAGGGATGGGTAAGTGTTGAAATGAAAATACTGAGTCATGCCTTGATGGCTTTTGTTGTACTGCCCTTACAGTTCTGAAGTTTTGTATGGGAGTTGATTAACGGTAAATCCTTTAATCCTGTTAGGTGGCCAGCTATGGGAATACATGGAGATAAAAGCCAGCAGGAAAGAGACTGGGTTCTCAATGGTAAGCTTGCAGCCCCAATAAATCACTCGTTAATCATGATCAGCGTTGTACAACTTTCAGGTAATGTTTCAAATGAGTCTTGATTTTTATTCTTTTTTCAGAGTTCAAATATGGAAAGGCTCCGATTCTCATTGCTACAGATGTTGCCTCTAGAGGTCTAGGTCAGTACCCTCCCTGAACGGTTTTGTACTCTTAATGTATTTCTAAAAGAAAGTGTATTTGCTTTCTTTAACTCTTCTGCTTCTTTCTGAGTTTCTCCCCTGACCTGAAGGAGCAGTCTGTATGGCAAGGCCTTGGCATGACAAGCCCAGGTCCCCAGAGGGGGAAGGAGGATTCTTGGAGGTGTCCTGACTGGCGAGGCACGGGTCTCCCAGTTGTGCAGATATACAGAGGTGACCAGGCCCAAGTGCAGCATAACGCGCTGGCCTGTCCAAAAAGGGGGGGCGAGTTGAGGGCTGGCCACAGTTCCTCCCCCACACGCTCGTCTGTTCCCTGGCAATGGTTTCGACTGCTTCACACACACCCAGGCTCTGTAACTGTCCCAGCTCAAAGCCCAGCTACACTGTCTCCTATTGTCTTGCATGTATGTTCGGGCACTGCAAGCTATTTGAGCCATTTGGAAGGTGCTTTCTGTTGCGTAGACTCGTTGTAAAGCATGGGTGGGGTTGACGTCGCAGTTTCTAAACTTCTGTCGGAGGAGCAGTCTGTCAGATCGATCATACCATCACCTCTGTAATGACTACTGGCGCTTTTGGTGACAGTGGGACATGCTAGTTGGACACTCGGGCAAAATCCAAGCTCACACTCCTCCCTCGCCTGCGTTTCAAAGTCATGTCGAGACCTGCCAACGAGAGACATTATGGTCACGTGAACACTGGGTCTGGAAAAGTCTTGCCATGCCGAGAGTGGGGATGTACAATGTAGACATTCTGCAAATTGGTTCAGATCTACAGTTTCTTAGCAAGAGACACTGCAGTGTGAGCTTTATAGCGAGCATCCCGTGAGCGTGTGACAAAGACTTTTAAATACTAGTTCAAGCACACTAGGAGGCAGTAGTGTGCATAGCAGCTACTGTATAGCGACACCTGTGGGTCATTTGACAATATGTGGGGCGTGTGCTGCAATGGGAATGGACTAGTGAATGCATACTCCAGAGAATGGTAAGACTTCTGATCCCTTCTTTCTGAGGGTGGTTTGTCAGTGGTTGAAGAGGGGCGGGTTTTATTTTATCCCACTGGATTGGAAGCCAATGGAGTGTGCATCGGTTATCTTTTCCCACCGTAGTCTCCCCGGGCAGTAAATGTTTGCCTCTAGTTCTGACTAATGCTAGTCTTTGTGGATTTTCCAACCATTTGTACCTCATGACAGCACTAACATGGCCTTTTTTGTTTTTGATCTGGTTGTTGTGGTGGCACTGGCGCACGTCTTTGTGTGCTGTCCTGCTTTTCCTTTATGCCACACCGCAACACAATCTTACAGATGTTGAAGATGTGAAATTTGTCATCAACTTTGACTACCCCAACAACTCTGAGGACTATATCCACCGCATTGGCAGAACAGCTCGTAGCCAAAAGACAGGCACGGCTTACACCTTCTTCACTCCAAACAACATGAGGCAGGCCACTGACCTCATCTCTGTGCTCCGCGAAGCCAACCAGGCGATCAACCCCAAGCTCCTCCAAATGGCGGAAGACAGAGGAGGTAAATCTAATTGGTGAGATACAGAAACTGTGCTGTGAATTGCAGCCACTCCTTTTCTGCTGCCTTTTTTCTGCTGCTTTTTTCTGAGAACTTGATAGATTTTCCAATATAAACTTCTGTATCTCAAAACTATTTTTGCTTTAACTTTCTGTTTACAAAGAATACGATAGCTGTCTTTTTTTGTTTTTTTTAAAGTTGTCTATTTTCCTTTTGTTTTCCAGGTCGTTCAAGGGGAGGCAGAGGTGGTGACTTCAGAGATGACCGTCGGGATAGGTATTCTGGAAGGCGTGATTTCGGCAGTTTTAGGGACCGGGATAATGGTAGAGGTTTTGACAACGGACCAAATAAAACCTTTGGCACAAATACGCAGAATGGAGGCTATGGGGGCGGCAACACCAGCAGCGGCAACGGCTTCACTGGAGGCAGCTACAATGGTAATGGACAGTCCAACTTTAACAACCAAACTGCAGCCTTTGCAGGCCAGAATTTCCAGGCCCAACAGTTTGCTGTCCCTAAGGGTGGCACACAGACTGGTGCGACTCACCCCCCATTCCCCTTCCCCCAGGCACAGGCTCCTCCTCAGCAGCATCCTCCACCGCTGGTGCCGTACCCCATGCCTCCTCAGTTCTCTCAGTAACCGCACCATACACTTGAAAGAAGTAATTTATTGCTTTTTTGTCTTGTTGAGTTCTACACTTATTAAAGATTTTTTTTGTATTTACACAACAGGGTTACAAACAACTTCAGCCTCTATCAAGCCTTTTAAAGATCTGCAGTGCAACCATACTGTTGCAGTTTTTTTTTCCTATTACTATTTAATTTGTTACATTCCCTCAGTAATGTTTAGTTATGTTTTGTACTAGGTAATTACAAATGTATTGGTTTTTCATGTGTATCCTTGAAAGTGATGTTAAGCTCCTAATTGGAAGTGCACTGCATGATCTTTCAAATAAAACTTAAAATTAATTTGCTTGTCTTTATTCTTTGAGCCTGCTCCTCATCTACTCTGAAGGAAAATATTAACACACTGGTAATACCACTTCTGTCCAGCAGGTGTCAGGTTTCTCAAATAGACCACGCTAGTGTGTCTAGTCAGTATGGTACCTGTTTACAGTATATCATTTTAAAATCCGTAGCTGCTGACAGTGTTTAGGTGTTGTGAAAACATATGTAGCAAAAATGGAAATTAGTAGTTTATATGAATCACTTCCTCCCTCAGACGTTAAGTTGTGTCCCAGCAGCAGAAGGGGATTGGTAACCAGTTGTCTCCGTCACACTCGTGCCTCTCCCTCACTGGTAAGGATGGCATCTTTGCAGCACTAATAGCCTTTGGATGATATGATCCTCGCAACCTGTTTCGATATTATCTAAACCAACTGATTTTGGTCTTAAAGGATACACACTGAGAAGCCAGCTATATTACTGGGCACGGCTGTATTGGGAAATTAGCCCAATGCCACAGGCAGAGCTGTGACTTGAAACTCCATTATATTCATGAGGACGGGCCCTTAAACTAGTTGTCTGGTTATTTTTGTTTCGCAAACGGTATTGCATTTGTTTTAACACTTTTAGCTTAAATGTAACTTAAAGATGTATCGATGCATAGTAAACTGTCTTAATGAAATATGTGCAGTGTCGCATGTGTAGTGCGAATGGTCACATGACTAGAGTTGTGTTTCCTGGCTGCATCAACGCTCAAAAACTAAAGGTTATTAAAGTATAAGAAACATGAGATCAATATTTGTTGGTACACATTTTTAATGTGTCTAGTATTGATCTATATGCATTTGCAATTTCTCAACTTTAAGAGTTGTCATAGAATGAGTAAACATGTTGACGGCAACAGTGACCGGCGGGGTAACTCGGTGCGTCTATACACATCGTTAACATCGTACAAAGCTCTTGTTCTACTCTAGTCTGTCTTTTAGTTTCACTTTGAGTCAAACTGTGGAAGAGTGCCAGACCGGCTAGTTTGAGTAATTCAGAAACTGCTTATCTACTGGGATTTGAATGTAAAACCATCCCTGGGGTTTACAAGCAATTGTGTGTACCAGTAAATATATGTAGTATGTAACTACTGGGCTGGGGTATAGATAATAATTTTGATGACTGCATAGGAAAAATGTGACCGAACATAAAACACACTATTTCATACCTACTTTTCCATGAAAAATACAGATTCTTTTTTACTTTATTATTTGAAAGGGTAACTAATGAGATGTGATTTGCATATTTTCATGTCTGGGAAAAACATCGGGATTGAATGTGTTAATAAAAAAAGAACAAAATTCTTAAAAACAGTTTTACGTACATACATTGGAGCAGTGTTAATCCTAAACTCCACCCCTGGTTCTGACCCCCAGGTTGTGTACAAAGTAGAGGACACCAACTTTATGAAACTTTATAAGGAAACCAGTGATACAGGTTCTATTTTCAAAGCACAGATGCACACGTGGACAAAATAGTAGGTACCCTTCCGTTAAAGAAAGAAAAACCCACAATGGTCACTGAAATAACTTGAAACTGACAAAAGTAATAGTAAATACAAATGTACTGAAAATGAACTAATGAAAATCAGAGATTGCTTTTGAATTGTGGTTCAACAGAATCATTTTATAAAACAAACTAATGAAAATGGCCTGGACCAAAATGATGGTACCCTTAACTTAATATTTTGTTGCACAACCTTTTGAGGCAATCACTGCAATCAAGCGATTTCTGTAACTCCCAGTGAGACTTCTGCACCTGTCGACAGGTATATTGGCCCACTCCTTGTGAGCAAACTGCTCCAGCGGTCTCAGGTTTGAATGGTGCCTCCTCCAGACTGCATGTTTCAGCTCCTTGCACAGATGTTCAATAGGATTTAGATCAGGGCTCAGAGAAGGCCACTTCACAATAGTCCAATGTTTTGCTCTTATTCATTCTTGGGTGTGTTTAGCTGTGTTTTGGGTCATTATCCTGTTGGAGGACCCGTGACCTGTGACTGAGACCAAGCTTTCTGACACTGGGCAGCACATTTCGCTCCAGAATGCCTCGATGGTCTTGAGATTTCATTGTACCCTGCACAGATTCAAGACACCCTGTGCCAGATGCAGCAAAGCAGCCCCAGAACACAACCGAGCCTCCATGTTTTACAGTAGGTACAGTGTTCTGTTCTCTGTATGCTTCATGTCTGTGAACATAGAGCTGATGAGACTTGCCAAAAAGCTCCAGTTTTGTCTCATCTGTCCAAAGGACATTCTCCCAGAAGCTTTGTGACTTGTCAATATGCATTTTAGCAAATTCCAGTTTCAAAACTGGAGCTTTTTGGAAAAGTCTCATCAACTCAGATTAAAGGACTCTTATCGGGATCAGCATCAAAATAATCTGATGTACATCACGGTAACTAGAGGCTATGTGGTGAGGCAACCTGGGCCCCTGGTAGTCATGTATTTGATGTCACAGTAGAGCTGCTGCTCCACCTTTAACACTTACATTATCAAGGACTGAAACCAGTTCACAGGTCAGCGCCTGCTGATTAGATCTTTCGGGGAACAGTTCCTGCTATTCAGGAGTGCTGTGGGTGCGGCTCATCTAAATTGCTCTCTGCATATTTTCAGAACCAAGGCCTTGAAGTATGTGTGGAACGCTCTCTGTGTAAATACTGAAGTGTTCTTTCTTTCGTGTGTCAATTGTTTTTTTCGCATCCAGATATATGACAGCCACACCCTGCTGTTGACGTGACCATTTAAAAAAAAAAACACATTGAGCTTGTACTTATTTAATCTGTTTTCATGGGGGGGGGGACTAATTTCTCAGTGAAATAAAGGAGCCAAAGTGACACATTCATGATTCACTGTATGTAAATTTGATCTGAGTGGGTTCAAGCCGCGCTTATCTCGGATGGATTGCACAATGTGGAATTTAAACAGGTGGGTTGTGCTCAATTGAATTGCAGGGTTGAACACAATAACATGAACACCTGTACCATATGATGAAACCCTTATGAAGCCACAGTTATGAAGCTTATAAAGTAACACAAGTGTTGAATCGACTATTGTCGTTTTAGTTTTATTTATTAGCGAGAGAGAGAGAGAGATTTTATTGCACAGGTGTTCATGTTATTGTGTCCAACCCCTCCACACCTCCTCAACATACGAGGCCTGGTCTGGACTTCTTAAATATGAACTAGCCATTATTTCCTATTTCTGAACTTCTGGATTTGTGGTTTTGTGTCTCATTGTATCTCTCTCCGGCCGGCTGTGGCTCAGAGGTAGAGATTGCAGCTGGGGTTAGTTGGGAGCCCGGATCCTCCCGTCCTCATGTTGATTGACCTTGGATAAGACACTGAGACCCTAAGGCTGCACTTTGAAAGAGCATTAGAATTAGATCCTGATGAGCAGTGAATGGGTGGGTGTTGACGTGTAGTACACAGAGTAATTTAAAGTAATATAAAGGCGCTATATAAAGGCAAGTCCACTTTCTCTCTTTGCAGCATGTCTTTTTGCCCCTTTCGTAATTATTTTGTGACTGTTTGCAGTTCCCTTGCGTCTCTCTCATGTGTCTTTGTGGTCTTTGAGGGACATTTTGGAGGTGAAGGCTAGGGGCGCCCCTGGGCCTGTGCCCAGTCGACCCCTTCAGTGATCCATCCATGATCTGGAGGCGTGTTCGGACTTGTCGGAGCTGCTGGCAGGTCATTCTGAGTAAAGCCAAACTGGGCTGCAGATTCAGGTAATAATTCTCCGCATCACTACAGATGACCTCTTACTGTTGTCATCGTAAAAAAAACTTCAGAATCAACTTTATTGGCCATGAATGCGTACGCAGACAAGGAATTTGATTCCGGTTCTTCCGTTGCTCTCAACTTTCATACACAGAAATAGACGATAAACAAAAAACAAGGACAACAAAGTAGAACAGAGGTAGGGATAAACATTTAACTACTATGTACAAATATATATATACAAAAGTGTATATGTATGAACATAAAACACAACAACAATGAAATGGAGGTGATTGTGCAGTAAAAAAAACATCGATTAGCCGTTCTGCTAGAGGCAAAGGTCGAGGTAAAGACTACCCTGTGTCTTCTTTTGCCTCATCAATCATCACCCGTCACTCACTCACTCTCTGCGTTATCTTCCCTCCCTCTCCCTGCAGGTATATGTATGTTGGTTCTAGTAGTAACTGCTCTGGGTGTGCGTCAGACGCACCCACTGCAAGCATGAGACACAGGAGCAGCACGCGGAACCATTTTCCTCCCAACCGAGGTGTAAAGAATGTGCATTGTTCGACTCCATCAGCAGCGGCGCCTCCAACTCCCACCCACCCACATTTCTGTGCATGTATGTGTTTTGTGCCAACAATAATGCACACACACCCTCACATGTAATGCTGAAGATTTACATACTATCTGTGTTGTCAGTCTTTTTTTTTTTTTGGGCTTGCAGGTGAAGTTTGCATTCTTCCCTCTCTAGACCTTGACTTGTACACCACAGAGGTAATTCCACAGGGAGTGTGTCCGATAAACGCTGATACTCAGAAATAAGTATGTTACTCTGGGGCCGTTGGGTGTAGCAATCCTTAAGGGTTCCAGGTTAATTACTCTAACTCCGCCAATTATGTAATCAGAGTTCCGCTGCATTTGCCAAAACTGTGATGCGAACGTGTTGAAGAACAAGTTAAACCGTCTCCTACAGTGCTATTGTTGTTAACACTGTTAAACTATGTCACCTGTCCAGTGAACCTTCAACTTGAACATCTACTGCAACTAACTATTCTGATGCTGTGCACATCTTATCATGAGTCATACTCTCGGCTTTTATATTTTAATTCATCCTTCTCTTGATAGACCATTGTTGCTGTGTAGCAACACATAGTGATATATACGTCACATACAAATCTAAATGTTTGCCTGTTGTGTCTCAATGAACAATAATAAGAGCAAGAGCTGCTGATGATGTTGATATCCTGCCATCGAGTAACTAGTTCCGCCGCATTCCGCCAACAGTCATACATGCTGAAACAGTGAGTGCTCCTTAACGTCCTCCCACGTCTTGTGCTGCATGGAGCTGATAACAGAGCAGCAGCTGTACAGGTACAGAGACCACTTCTGGAAGAAAAACACAAACAAAAACACTGAAGTGTACAGAAAATGCAGATAAACTCGTCAAAAATGATTTAAAGTGAGGTGTCACGAAAACGATTCTGCTCTTTTAGGGTTCATCAGCTGTTTCCTGATCATGCAGCTAAACTTTTTTTTTTTTTTTTAAAGCACATTTCTGAGCAGCCAGACACACGAAAAACAGCTTTAACAACTTGACAGGGCAGAGCGAGGAGCGTGGTGGAACAGGTCCGCCCGGTCTGCTCCTCCGCTGCCTTTACTGAGGACACACCTGCTGGCCTGGGTGGAGCTGAGACAGGTGGACGCTCCTTAACTTGGAAGGGAGACGTCGCAAGAGAGGAAAGAGGAGAGGAGAGAGTGAGGTTGGAAGACACAACACTCGTAGCCCGATTACAACAAACCGACCCGAGCAGCCTCCCAAGATGTCGAACAAAAAGGACTATAGTCCTGTGAAGCTCAGCAAGTGAGTTCGCTCTGTGTGTGTGTGTGTGTGTGTGTGTGTGTGTGTGTGTGTGTGTGTGTGTCGGGTTACCTAGTCTTATAACACTGTCCCTTGTCTTGTCCCCTCTCTTTCTAAAGCAGGCTGTTCTTTTGTGTCCTGATGATTTATGTTTGCACAGTGTTTTTATTTCCTGGGACAACACAGTCCACCTCAGGAGTCAGGTGCCAAATGAAAAAAACAATGATCGGACTCTCAAAATACATTCCGTGTGTTCAATACAAATATCTGTCTTTCATTCATTCTTAAGTGTGGGAGCATGAGCTCAGTCTTCTCCTGTTTACTCTGATGTTACCACTGTGTTAGTAACTTTTACATGTTCATCATTGATTGTCCTCTCCTGGCCTTATCCCAGTCCTTTACTCATCCGCAGCACTTTCATTGGTATCTTTGCCCAGGGGGTGTTTCATCAAAGTTTGCTTGACTCACTAAATACATTTTCTGGTGGCACTCAAAAGCCTCGGCCGGTGTTCGGACTCATTAAGGTGAAAGATCAACAGTGTGCCTTCAGTGCTCTAATCCAGCCGAGACAGTACAATAATAGAGTGTATACCTTGTTGTCATTGCTATGCAGTGGAACCGGTGGTTGTTTGAGTTGAGTGGAGGGAGTTGGCTCTCGCTGTTATCAATCATGTTTTATGAAGTGCAATAAATGTGTGGACTTCTTGAGAGTTTGATATTGAGCAACCTTCACCTGGCTCCTCTCAAAGTGACTTGTTGTCACCCAGGGGGCCGAGGGGGGGGCACACATCCTGTTGAACATTAGCGCTCCTTCACAGAGGGGCGTGTCGTGCAAGCCAAAGGCTGGAGGTTGTTACTGATATAAGAGAGAGGGAAGGGCTGAGGCTGAGGGAGTGGCAGGGCAGCGTCTCTCTGCTGCCGAGTCTGTTTGTCCTCACAGGCACAGTGAAACGCAGGTTTTAATGGATGTGAGTGAGTCAGTGAGTGCGTAATGCCGTGAGCATGGTTGATTATTCCTGATTATGGCGAAAAAACAACAGCTGTGTGTTTGTTATGTGGCTCCCAGCAATAGAATGAACTCACCCACATGTTGGACCTTGTGGGACATGTTGGAAGCAGAGATAAGAGCAGAGCTTGAGTGAAGGAGCAGTCAGTGGAGGAGGAAGTATTCAGATCCTGTACTTAAGTAAAAGTACTTAAGTACTCAAACCACAAGTAAAAGTCCTGCATTGAAAATGTTACTAAAGTAAAAGTATGTAGAAATAATCAGGACGATGTATCAAACGTAGAAGTACACAAAAGTGTCCCCTGTGAGTGTTTTACCAGCCTAATGTACAGGCCTTCTGTATCATTAGGTTATTAATACTCACGTGTTGTTTGTGTAGCATTTTACTGTTGAAGTTGAGCAAATATTGAACTAGTGATGAATTTCATTCTGGGTTCGTCTCCTGATTGACTGAGTCATTGAAAGGGATGGCAGCAACATTTATTAAGAAGCTGGAACCTTGATATGTTTGGTATTTTTGCATAAAAATGCAGATAATAAAAAAAAGACTTTCTGTCAATGTACTTATAGTTTCAGCTGTACTCCTGTACACTGTTGGGTAGTTTAGCATCATCATTTATACGATTGTCATGTGTTTTGCACACAAAAGAACCTATGACTCTTAACTAATAGAAGTGGGAAGTGACATAAAAAGAAAATATTCAAGGAGCAGTATCTGGCTAAATGTGCAAAGCCACATTCCATCAATGGGAGTGATGAAAAAGAAAGCACTGGAAGAAGTGATCCACCTCGCCTACTACGAGCCCGACAACTGTCAAAGCCCCGAAATGAATGACACCGATAAGAGCTGAATGCCGCAGTGTGACACATTCCTCTGTCACACACAGACAACATTCCTGAGTGTTGATTGTAGGGTTAGTGTTTCAACCCCCCCCCCCATCCGTCCTCTACAATGTGTCCCCTGGGTCCTGATCCAGGTGTGTCCCAATAAATAGTTGGTGTTCATATCACAGCCGAGGAGGAATGACAGAACAAACACCCAAAGAGCACAAACAGGTCTGCAGAGAGCTGCTCCTGAGTGACATGCCGGTGAAGAATTGTGTTGAGCAGGTGAAGCAATTCTTCTTTGTTGGTGCCCTCAGTGGGTTTCATGTCCACACCTGAACCATGAAGTCCAGCAACCTTTTCCTACATGGAGAGCAAAAGTAACACTGTCAAGTTGAAGTATTATACTTAAATACAACTATGAGGTACTTCAAATCTTTTTCAAATACTTTGTCATCAACAGAACATAGTTTTATGTATATATTCTCTATAATGTTGTACAATTTTGACATTATTTAGGTGGAGGCTTCAAATAAGCCCAGTGGGTTTTCTGCCTCTCTGTTTGTGTATTTTTAAATAGTGCAACTAAACTAAACTTTTATGCTACTCCATTAGTTTTCAGATGGAAATGTTGTGCTCCACTACACTTATTTGACAGCAGTGTTTACTTTGAAGATCAAAATCATACACACAAAACAGCTGATTAACTTCTAAAATCTGAACAACCGAACAAACTACATGTTTGCTTGAAAGTAGATTTGCTGAGGTATTTAAGTACACAAACAAGCCATTTAATCACAGCAACAAGATTATATCTTACCTACTTTCTACTAGTTGGAAGGATTTTGACCGTCATCTTTTTGTGCTTTTACCCAGGACTCAGGCCGCTGACCTGGCTTTGGTGGTTTCTCGCATGCAGAAGAATGCAGACCAAGTAGAGAAGAATATCCTGAGATCAGAGGGGCTGCTGACTGCGGTAAGAAGTCCATGTTGGACTTATGACTTGATATTTATTACTAATTTGATACCTGAAAGTCGTCACGAGATCAGTTTTGCACCATAAGATCTTACACAAGAACATACACTGCAGGGTGTTGGTCCTTTTAATGTAAACAAAGTGGTATTAAAACAAGCTTTGGAAGGAAAATAGCCAGTACTAATGTCATGTCATGAATCAGCGTGTTCAGCACTTAGAGACCTGGAAGATGATCATGTGATATGATTTCCAGTTTTTGATACTGTAAATCAACTTCCAAAAACACAAAAAAGTGATTATCGATGCAAGGGCATTTTTCTTCTAAACTCCTGGAGATTAAACATTGTTTTGAATGTGACAAACACAACGTTCCTGTGTGTGTAGGACACAGAGCGTGATGCGAAGAAGCAGACCCTGATCCACCAGAAGGAGAACGCAGACAACCTGGCGCAGGCTGAGGGGCTGCTGAAGGACCTCTTCATGGACGTGGACAAGGCCAAGAGGCTGCAGCACCCGCAGGCCCTCGAGATAGAGAAGGAGTGAGTTTATTAGGGCCCGTCACACACAAATACACACAGGCGTGCCTGCCGACAGACACACCTAAAACTGGCTGTGTCGCATACCTTCAAGATATGCCTGCCAGTGTCATTTCCACATTCCCCTATTATGCTCCCCACCTATCTACTTACCAATCGCTGAAATGCTTTTCTCCTTTTCAGTGTGAAAAACCTCCACGACCGCTGGGTGAAGGACTGTGCCATCTACAGGGAGCTGTACGCCCAGGCGCCGGTTCTGGAACCAAAACCGAAGATCGGCTGGGGTCCTCTGCTGGATGAAAAACTGGTCGGTTCAAGCTCAGTCGATCTTTTGTTTTAGTATCATCCTAATGAGTCATACGTGTCACAGGTTGAACAACTTTCTGCTTCGCGATGCTGTGATTTACAGAAACAGTTAAAGGGAGACGGATATGGCCCCAACCTGACTGATGTAGAGAAGCAGATAGCGGAACACAACATCCAGCACCAGGAGATCGAGGCCTACAGCGCCCAGCTGCAGCCCAGCACCACCGACTCAAAGGTAGCGGCACAAACCGACGCATGAATGCACTCTGCAGGACTTCACGCAGGATGAATCATTTACCTGTCTCTTTCATGTTTTTGTTCGCAGGCGCAGTACGCCGCCCTCAAAGAGAAATATGCTGAGCTTCATGTGAGTTGGGTTTGGTTTTTTCCCCCCCTTTCTTGACTCTTAAGGCTCTGACGTGTGACATTGTGCTGCTCGAAGTCCCTTAAAGGATATGTATATGTAATGTGCATGCGCGTTGTGTGTTCTGCAGGAGAGCTCCCAGCTGAGACGCAACAACCTGGCCTCTCTGTACGAGTACGTGCAGAGCTGCACTAAGGAGCTGAGCTACCTGTCGGGCCAACAGGAGAGGATCCTCCAGAGAGACTGGAGTGATCGCATGGGCGACCCTCGAGGTGTCCGCATGGAGTACGAGGTGAGGGTGTCCTGATGGCAACGCCATTATTGATTGATTTTAAAATTCTCCCCGCTTATTGTGGTCGTCTTGCGATCAGAGGGAAGTGCAAGCGGGGAGGAGATATCTTGGAGGGATGAATACTACAAAGTTGTTTGGCAGGTTACCTTCAACCACTAATTGTTGAGGGGCCAGTTGCACCAGCTTGGGACCCAAGTGGTGTAACCTGTAGGGTGCATAGTAACTGCATAGCTGCTGGGAGAATTTGATTTGAGTACTCGAAAAACGATGTCACGTCTTCTACATCACACTTTATGTGGTTTCTGTTCGTAAACAGAAATTCAAAACCACCGGACTGCTGGCACATGAGACTGAGATCAACAAGCTGCAGGAGGAAGGAGATCGTATTGTTGCAAAGAAACACCCCGGCAACTCAACAATAAAGGTACATCTGGTATACATGGTATCGCATAGGACTCCTTATGGTCGAATAAATTGCATTGAATGACTTTAATCAAGGTGTTTGCTTTTGTCAGGCACACAGAGACGCTGTGCAGGCTGAGTGGCAATCCTTCCTCAACTTGTGCCTGGCACAGGAAACACACTTGGACAACATCGAAGACTACAGGAAGGTAGTGAGCCTCTGACCCCACCACACTGTGACAGTATGTCTTCTACTAAATCAACCAGTTCATTAAAGCGACTATTTGTCCAACGCAGTTCCAGCTGGATGCAGAGACGTTGTCCGAGTCCCTGGAGAGGATCAACTCCGTCATGGACCCAAAGTCTCTGGGCAACAAGAGCAACCCTCAGGTCCTGATGGCGCTGGAGGTACGGCTGTGTTTTCCAAAGTCACGGTTTCTGTGCAGCTCTAGAAAAGTCTTGGAAGAGTGTGGAAACGTTGGAATTTTCAGCAAAGCTCTTATCTGCGTGGGAAGAATCGGACGAGCTTGTGTCACATGGTTGATTACAGGGATGCTCAGAGGAGGAAGAGCCGACCAGACACTACATTGTTTGTTCTTTTGTCTGCGTATGAAAAGCTCCCTGTTCAGTTCTTCAAGTTTTAGTCACAGTGTTCAGGTTATTTGCCTCCTGTGTTGACTCTCAGTATTTGTTTAGACGATGAAGTTTGTTGGGGTCGGTTCCAAGAAGCAGGTTTACTAAGTTATCTAATGTTTTTGAGTCGAAAATGTCTGTATAAAACTTCAAATGAATGGTCTTAAAAATCGTCCCAAATTTGGACTAATATAAACAGAATGAAACAATTCTTAGTAAAAATGTTAGGACTTAGAAGCTTTTTATAAAGAAGCTCAGTGTAACTTTTAACAAAGGGATTCTTTCGTGCAGTTAATTGTTAAAAAATAAAGACTACAGTTATGTCTGCAATGCCCTCTCTCACTGAAACAGACAATGATAAGCTTTCAAATGTAACTTCTCGGATGTGGGTCACATTTTTTTAATGTATCTAATTTTATAGTTTAGCCTATTTTTGTCGTTTTCGACTTGTACAACACAAATGGAGAATATAAAAACAATAAGTCATTACTTTTCAAATAGTGTCAAACTAAAGGAAAATTTATGATTCATAATTTTTTTACACGTGTTATATTTAACCAAAAACTCTCAAACAAAAATATATATACACAGTAGTGTTCATACCTCAGTTTTTCATTCGTTCTAATTTTTGAATGCAAATTCCTTTTCCTTCATACTGACTCACTCTACTTTGTTCTGGATACAGTCTGGAAGCATCTTATTTTTTACTTTATATATTAATTATACTGTTTTGAAGTCCACCGAATCTCTAAATTTGAGAGCACATCACAGCTTCATGCTCAACTTGTCACGATCAAGATTTTACCCATAATTCACTGTAACATTATATATGCTTCAGCATTTTGTAGCATGCAGGAGGAAAGCTAGGAAAGCTATTTTCATGTTGACAATGTCAATATTACAGTATGATATATGGGATTTGATACATAACCTGATTAGATAATGAAGAAATGCTAAAGTTGGGGCTATTGCACGTTATATCCTTGTTTGTTTGCGTTGCATCTGTTGTAACTCAATCACGCCGCCAGGGAGATGAACCAGCAGTAAAGAGGAATGAGCAGCGCCTGGCTGACCTCAGGCAGCTCAGCAGCAGGATCTTGCCTCTGAAGTCACGCCGAATGAAGCCCACCAAAGCCACCACTGTAGTGGCCCTGTGTGACTGGGCAGATTCTTGCTCGAGGGTAAATCCCCAACACCAGTCATTTCCAGGCTTTGATATAAAAACAAAAATACTCTTTATTTCATCATCTTCCCTGTGTGGTTCAGGACACAGTGAGGCGTGGCGAGGCGCTAAGCCTGAAGTCCAACTCTGACAATAGGAACTGGGAGTTTCAGAGCAGCAGTGGGAAGACCAGGACCCTGCCTGGGGTGTGTTTTATGGTCCCTCCACCTGATGCTGAGGCGCTGGAGAAAGTCAACAGGTATAGAGTGCAAACACACCACCTACACTATGTTTTCCTTCCATTGTTTTGTTATGTGATGGCAACAGAGACAAAGCCTGTGATGGATTTGAATGAAACATTGGATGTCTATGTGTGTCCAGTCTGGACAGAGCACTGACGGATCTAAAGAGCCGTAGATCTGCACTAATGGCCTCCTTGAAGAACCCCACTGTGGAGGTGGTCCGCCCTCAGAAGGCAGGTGAGAAGAAAGACATCTTAACAGGACCGCATTATTTTGTCTTCCCTGTCTGTAAGACCACGACAGAATCTTTGCTCGGAGATTTAAGCTCATCTGACATTTCATTGTACAGTTATTGTCTTTGCTCGTCCTCAGCCGCCGTTCAAAGTGCACCAGACGATCCCAGATCTGCCGAGCTAGCCAGCGAAATAGACAAGATCAACAAAGCCCTGGATCAGAGCGAAAAAGAAGCCCTGAGTCGACTCCGAGCCCCCCTGGACAACCGCAACCCCACACAAGACCTGGCAAACAGACTGCGAGAGCACGAGGTGAACATGAAAAACACTATGCTTTGACGAAAAAAGGTTACAGTTTCGTCATCTTCATCGTCATCAATGCGGCTTCCTCCACCGTTAGGAAGCTCAGTTCAGTTCCGCTCTGAGCAAAGGTTCCTCAAGGGGAGATTTTAACGTCCCTAAGCGAGGCGCTTCCTTTGCACAATCTGCATTTTCTTTTAATGCCGTTAAAGAATGGAATCTGAAAACCTGCTTGTCAGTATTAATTCAGTAATTTGTCAGTCATTTTAGTAAGTTTATAGGTATTCCTATGAAGTGTGTATGCGTACTTCTGCGTGGGCATCACTAGGTTGTTGGTCCATTTGTAGTGGATATCGTAGGTTTTGCTCTATGTTGTATTGTTTCCTGTCAAGGGGCTACAGATACAGAGTTAGTAGCTAAATCTGGTACAAAGCATCTCTTCTTTTTTTTTTGAGATCAATGTAATTTTGTACATGGTCCCTTGTATGAACACAAATAATAAACTAAAACTAAACACCTCTGTCTTGTAGCGATCAGTAACACCTTGTGATTTCCTCCAGAAATGTGCTCAGATTGTGAGAAAGCTGGAGTCTGAGAAGTCTGCGATCCAGAGAGAGATGGAGCCTATTCTGGCCAAGAAACCCCTGGGACCCATCTCCTCTACACTGGCCCTCAAACTCACCGCTGCCAACAACAAGATCGATAACATCAACACCCTCCTCGGCCTTTATAACAAAAAGTAAGACGAGTTTCCCTTTCATCTGATTTTTGAATTAAGGCAAGAAGCACATTTTTATTTTTGAAATGTTATCTTCCGATATCTTTTTCGGTATTACCTTCTGTGTTTCTCTCCTCTTAACCAGAGCTACAGCCTCCATGTTCCTTGAGAAGCAGAAGCAGAATGTTGAAGGCATCGTCTCTGGGTTTGAGGACAAGCTAGCTAAAGATGGCGCCATTCTTGATCAACCGAACGTCCTTCCGAGTCGCAACCAGCAGCTGCAGGTGTTGTACTATATAATGCAACCAAAAACAGTCAACGATTTAACAATTTCATGATAGGCTTATATGGGGGGATAGAGCATGGGATGCCCCAAAAGTAGTGATGTAACGGACCACTGCCGATCCGCGATCCGCACAGATCGACCCCTTTATTTCACACTATGCTGGTTAACCTAAACTGTGTAATTAATCTGTGGTTCACATGCATGCTGAACGACGGGTTAACTACACAGTTTAAGTTAACCAGCACAGTGTGAAATAAAGTTTTCCAGACGATCGTTATCCGCCAATATTCAGTAAAATATGCGATCAGGACATCGGCATTCATGCTTTTCTAGTCGCCAATCTTTGAATAATCAGCAATTAGTATCAGCGGCAAAAAAAACGTGAACAGGGATCTCTAAAAGTTATATTTGCTCCCTTTTTTCTATTGGATCTCCGATCCGTGAGTTTTATGATCTGTTGCACCACTAACCCAAAAGGGATCCAAACCTGTAGATTTCTTTATCTCAGTTCTTTCTCCTTATTCCAAACAGCTTACGCGTCAGGATGTGGCCTCAAAGAAGGGTGAGCTGAATAAATTAGGCACAGACTTGGACCTGACGGAGCAAGCGAGCAGATCCTTGCAGCAGAGTTTCAATGAATACTGTCCAGACATCCGCCGCCAGGACAATGAGGTGAAACAGCTGAGGAGCCGTTACACAAATGTCAACAATCAGCTCCAGGGAAGGTGAGTAAAACAAGATTTGGGAATTGTTTCAACTGTATTTGTGTTTTTTTAAGCTTTTATTTAAAATGGATGTTTTTGATATTTGGCTTTAGGTCTGATCTCATAAAGGAAGCAACCAATAAAAACCAAGATTTCCAGACTGCTGCTCAGTCACTGGATTTCTTCTTGGTCAATTTGCCCAATAATGCGATCAAACCTACAGATGATGTGGCTCAGATAACAGCCAAGCAGAACTCTCAGAAGGTTGGTAGGATCATTTCTTTACATACATTAACCAACTGTCTCCAACTGTACATACAAACTAACTCCGTGTGGATGTCATGTCTTGTTTAGAAAGTGATTGAGGACATCAAGACGAAATCTGCCGATTTAGACCAAGTGAAGAGTCTTTCCCGTGATCTGCAGGGCGTTTTGAATGTGAGTTCAGAGAATACGATTATGCTCATTTGCAGTTGATTAGGTATGCCCTTCCAAGTACATAATCCCTCAATCTTTAAATACATTTCCTTTCAGGAGTATGCTGTTAAGTCAAACACTTACCGTGGCACTCTGCATGACGATGATGATGATGATGATGATGAAGATGATGACGACGATGATGATAAACCTGTCCTAAAGAAACGTCAAACGTCAACTGTGGCTCAGGCTGTACAGAGAAAGGTACTCGTATAGACAAACACCGAAAGTGAATTTAGAACTCAAGACAAATCTCTAACTTTTCTCTAAAAAATGTTCTAAACTAATTTTGCCTTCTGCTTCTATCACAGGAGCAAGATCTACTCAACCGTTTCTCCGAGGTGTCGGCAGAAAACAACCAGCTACTCAGACAGTTGGAGACGGCGAAGAACATCAAAGCCAGAGTATGATATTATTGAATCAAAATAACATCAACAACTCTCAAGTAATAGAAGAATAATTCCCAGTGTTTCCTGCTCAAAATAATCCTCTTCTTTGTCCTTTTATTCATGTACAGAATGAAGAGAAAGTTAGTCAGGTGGTGGTCAATCAGCACCTGCAGCTACAGAGCCAGAGGAAGGACCTGGAGGAGAGCGGTAGTCTGAAAAGGGAATTAACTGAGGAGGTTGAGAGGCGTGTACATGCTGAAAGAGACCTGGAAACATACCGTAAGAGGTTTGTGTCTCTGAAGAATAGGAGAGGAGTGGAGAGGTTGGAGGAGAAGGAGGTGGTGCAATACTACCGTGAACCTAAACTGGAGGTGGAAATAAAGTCCTTGATAAATCAGATCCAGGATGAAGCATTGAAAAGGTCAAGAACCGATTCAGAGATAGACATTATAAATGATAGGATTATCAAAGTAGAAACACAGCTAATTAAAATCGAACCAAAACTGCTGACCAGGCTACTGACTGAATACGAGAGAGACCCACAGCTTGACAAAGACGCCGTCAAGATGAGAGATGAAATACGCAGGATACAACTGGAGCTCCAAACGAGAGATACTGAGGCAGTTCAAGTGAAAACTGAGATGACGGTTCTGTCTCAGCAGAAACAAAAAACCAGGCAAAGGATTGTTAAGAAAGAAGTGGTGAGGCTTGAAAAGGATCCGGAGATGCTGAAAGCTGTTCTCACTTTCCAAAGTGATATCTCGGAGGAGGAACTCCGGTGTCAGTCGCTAAACGGTAGCATTTTTAGCACAAGGAGTCAGATAAACACACTAGAGAGGGTCATTCCCACCATCCAACCCAAGATAGTCACCAAGGTGGTGAAGCAAGTAAAACAAGATCCAATAATGCTGGAAGAGTCGAAGAAACTACGAATAGCCTTGCAGGAGGAGAATCATGAGAATGTGATCTTGATGAAGGACCTGTCCACCTTGCAGCTACGTTACAGTGAAGTGGACAAGATCAGGGCTAAAGTCGAGGTCAAGGAGATCATCAATGAGATCTACAGAGTTGATCCTGAGACAGAAGTTGAGCTGGTGCGTCTGAAGAAAGAGCTGCAGGATTCCAGTCGTAACCGTGCAGAACTGGAGAAAGACATCAAGACACAGATAACTACTCTGACCACCCTGCGCGCTCAGAAACCCAAAGTAGAGTACAAAGAGGTGACCCAGGAGCTGATCAAAGAAGAGAAGAGCCCAGAGGTCACCAGAGAATTGCAAAGGCTGAGCAACCAAGTCTCCCGTCTGCTAGTCAACTATGAAACCACCCTGGAGCTGCTGACCCGCCTACGTAAAGAAAGAGACGAGCTGAAAGTGGAAAAATCCAGGGTGGAGACCAAGCTAGTCAATAAAGAGCTCATCAAATATGAAAACGATCCACTTCTTGAGAAAGAGGCTGACAGACTTCGGAGGGATGTAAGAGAAGAGACTCAACAACGTCGCAGTGTGGAGGAGTGTGTCTTTGACCTCCAGAACCAATACATTGTCCTTGAAAGGCAGAAGCCAGAGGAAAAGATTGTCATGCAGGAAATGGTGCGTCTGCAGAAGGACCCCAAGCAGGTAGTGGAGCATGATAAGTTGAACAAGAATCTGGACGACGAAATGAAAAGCCGCAGAAAGCTTGAATTAGAGGTCAGACAGCTCAGAGCCCTGATTCAAGACAAAGAGAACACCCTGGCTCAGATGGACGATCGTCAGAAGAAGATTCAAGTAGAGTCAGAGCTGAGGCAGATCAAATCTCGCATTTTTGAACTGGAAAACTCTCCGTCGCCCGTTGAGGAAAGGATTATCATTGAGGAGGTCCTGAAAGTGGAGAGGGACCCTCAGCTGGAAAAGCTTACTGATGGTATACGTCGCGACATGGAGAGTGAGGGAACCAATATCAGCCGTCTAGACAGAGAAATCCGCAACCTGAAGCTCAGGTTGGAAATTCTACAAAAGGAGAAGTCAATTGAGAAGGTTGTTTACAGAGAAGTTGTTCGTGTAGAGAAAGACCCGACAGTGGAGGCTGAAAGGGAACGTCTTAGAGAGCTTGTAACACAGGAGAGAAATCTCAGGCGTGACCAGGAGGATGACACTCAGAACATCCAGATCCGAATGACTCACATGCAGTCATCGCAGTCTATAACTTCTCACGAGGAGACCACTCTCATCACCAACAGAGACGCTCTGCAGAGAGAGAAGGAGGATTTGCTCAGACAGCTCAAAATGCTCGAGTCTCAAAGACAGAACATCAGCATAACGTTCCAGCAACAGTCAAAGCTGATGAGCGAGAGAAACCAGAATGTACGGCAAAGGAGTCTTAAAACGTCCACTGAGATACAGCGGCTGGAGAAAGAAATCCTGCAGGAAAAAGACAAAGTATACCAGAGAGACGCTCTCATCATGGATTTGCAGAACAACATCCAGAAAGAGGACCACTCTGAAACGCAAACAAGGGAGACAAATCTTTCCACAAAGATCACCATCATGGATCCAGAAACTGGTAGAGACATGTCTCCCTATGATGCCTACTTGCAGGGGCTAATTGATCGCAACCAATACATTCACCTGGCAGAGTTAGAGTGTGACTGGGAGGAAATCACCTCAACTGGTCCAGATGGGGATACAACAATTCTACAGGATCGTAAAAGTGGGAAGCAGTACTCTATCAAGGATGCTCTGAGGGATGGTCGCTTGACCCAGTATGACGTGGCGCGGTACAAGGACCGGAAAATGCCCATTTCTGAGTTTGCCCTCCTTGTTGCAGGGGAAAGCAGAAAGCCCATTGTTCCTCCAATAATCCCAAAATCCCCCACCAGACACATCCCAGCCAATCCCTTGAACTCAATGCCAAACTCCCTGAGGTCCTCCTATTCCAGCCTCAACACTCAACAACACAGTGGCAGTTTGAACAACCTCAGTGGCAGTTTGAACAACCTCAGTGGCAGTTTGAGCAACCTCAGTGGCAGTTTGAGCAACCTCAGTGCTTCAGCAGATGATGAGCATTTTCCCATCTCTGGTATTTTAGACATCACCACGGAAAGCCGCATGTCGGTGCGAAGTGCCCTGACCCGCAAACTCATTGATGCCGACACAGCTCTGAAGCTGCTAGAGGCACAAGCAGCCTCCGGGGGAATTGTCGATCTCTCCATCAAGGACAAACTTTCTGTCCACAAGGCAGCTGAACGAGGTCTCATTGACTCGAGTGACATGTACAAGCTTCTGAATGCCCAGAAGGCCTTCACTGGAGTTGAGGATCCCATGACCAAAGACCGTCTCGCAGTGGGACAGGCTGCAAAGAAAGGGTATATTCCCCAAGAAAATGCCAGGAGGTACATGGAGGCGCAGTACCTGACCGGTGGGTTTGTGAATCCCGCTAAAGCAGGACGCCTAACTGTCGAAGAAGCTATTGCCAGTAATATTATTGACAGTACAACAGCTGAGGAGCTGAAAGATGAAGCGTCCCACACAAAAGAGCTGATAGACCCCATTACTAAAGAGAAGATATCCTACAAGCAGGCAATGCAGAGGTGTAAGAGAGACCCCAGCACGGGCCTCTTGCTGCTTCCTGCAGCCTCTACTGATTCCACAACTGCCCCATCATACTCAAGCTATCGTTTCAGCTCCATCAACAGATACTAGATGTGAAGTTTAAGATATTTTATTTGCTGCAGCCACTTTTGCTTGAGGGTTTGTGACAACGCTAAGTGATCTACATAAAGATAAAAATGACCATTATTATGTTGACACACTTTTTAAAAACACTGAAAAAACGAACTACATTTTTGGTAAAGCTGTACATGTGGATCTGCTTTTTTTTCAGTACTATTTTGGGATCTGCTGTAAAAATGAGGGTAATATTTGTTTTATATGGTAAATATGGTGTGTGTTTTTTTCAGCACTCTCAAGCTAAATCTTTCATTGGTGCTTATTAAACTAATCAAGCCTCACATACTTTTATCTGTCTTGTTATTTGAAATATCAACAGTTGAATGGTCAAACCATATATGGGTAAACAGAGTCAATTTGTGGCGTTCGCAACACAATAATGTGGACGATCAAATGACGGTCTTCATTCTGACCTCTGCTTTTTAGCCATGCTAACAGCAGCTATACTTTTGTTTTTTACTTTTGCTAATTAGCAAGCGCTACCATGCTAACACGCAAAACTGAAATTTTAAAACAGTAAACTTTGCACCTGCTAAAATTCAGCATTTGTATGCTGATGTTAGCATTTAGCTCAAAGCACTGCTGTGCCTACGTGCAGCCTCAAAGAGCTGCTAGCATGTCTGTAGACTCTTAGTATTGCTATTAATATTAATATACATACAATTTATGGCACATCTTCCCATTTCCAGGAACAACTTGCTACACAAGACGGTGAATCATCTACTGTATCTAATACTTCAGCTGTACCTAATGTACAATGCTCGTAAACCCCGGTGAGTCATGTTCTTAGAAATGATGGATTAAGGAGACAGATTATATATGACTCAAGCATGTAATGTGTGAAAGTAAACAAGGTCAAACTCTCCGGTCTACATGGATGAAACGTGTCTAATAAAATCTAAAACAGTAGGACCGGGACCCACAGAGTGCGCTACCTTTTCAGCAGGCATACGTATCATATATCATATAACTGACATCCGTAAAGGATTCTCCTTGGTGGTCTCACAAAAAAAGGTAGACAAAGGTCCAAAATCCCTTTTTCCTGGCAAGGGGGGGGATTTGTCTGAAAGACCTGATCTGACCCCACAGTGGAGTTTACAGTAAATGGTGTTGATGTGGGAATATGTTTGAAGCCTCTCTGCTGGTATGTCTGAATGCCAGATTACCCGGTGACTGAAAGGACTTTGTGGGATTACTGAACATGAGCCTGTCTGGAGGCTGAAGTGGCCCCACTCTGCGTCTAGAGGTGGTGGGGGGTTATTGGGCAAAGTGTAGGCCTACTACCTGTAGGCTGGAATCAAATTCTGGATTATTTTTTCCCAGTCAATCAATGACACAGTCATCTAAACGCATGTGTGATGACGTCCTTCCTAATAAAAAGCCTGCTAAATAGCCAAGAGTACCACAGCATCACATACAGTATGTGTGGAAACACAAAGGGCACATTTGCACTGACTGGACCATTGCCTGAGTGATGGTAATTGGCAGCTCCTTCTTGTTATAATGGATTATTATTGCCATAATACTAGACCGCAGTGCTGATGGTTTAAACCCTGACAATGAGCATTTGCACATTTGTCTCTTATTCATTCTGTCTGTAAATGATGATGGCGAAGCCTCCTCTACGCCTGCCCTGCAATCATGCCAACGCCATATCAATTAGTATTTAAAGCACTCTTCCTCACTCTATTTTCCCCTCTTCATACAGCAGTATCAGGAGCAGTGACAATACTGTCAGGGAGGTGCTTTATTATTGTTCAAAACTAAACATCAATACAAACATACATAAAAGCACAACATTAGAACAGAAAATATGAGTCATAGGCATCAATCTGACAATCGTACACTAAAATGCATTTACTAAAAGTGTCTTGCTCATCATCGGTTGAATACCTCGGCCTGAGGAAATAAACTCCAGCAAAGCACAGACTTCCCCGACAGCCAACTGTGCGAAGATGCCAGCTGGCAGCATCAGCTTGAAACCAATGATGCTGCAAGCCATCTTTATTCTACAAATGTCTGTCTATGACTTCATTTATACATCGCCAAAATAAAGCTCCACAAAGTCCAATTGACCGGTGAGATTTACAAAATGAGTCTCAACCTGAGAGAGTTTAGATTCCTGAGAGTGTCACGATGACCTCATACTTCAGATTCCCACCCTGGTGTGCGACGTGTGAAAGGTGGTGAGTCAGTAGCATTGATCCGATGCTACGATTGTATCAATGTGTCAATCTTAGATTTAAAAGATACATTTGTCAGTTTGTCTCTGACTTCAGCTCTGAAAATCAATATATAAAACATCCAATGCTTTTTTTTTCTCAGTTCATTTGTCATTTTCAACTTGACTTTGAAGTTAAATTGTTTACTTGGTGGGGAAACAATTTGTATTTTGTGTGTCGGCCACCATATATTAGTTGCTGCTAATATGAACAGTATTCGCGTCACACTTCAAACATCTTTATCCGGCTCACTATGTGCTGATGCTGACTGAAGTTCTGGGTCATTTTTCCAAGTGGACACTGAGCTTGCCCTTCAGGAGCGGGAGCTGCTCACCCTGGCACGTTAGTGGATTAGACAGTGACTGTGTCATGGATTAAAGCGCCATTCAAGAACACAAGGCTTCCCACTGGCTGACCTCCACAGGTCGGAGCTAGCTGAAGATACTCGCATAAAGACAGGAACATTATACTACAGAAAATACTTTAACTATAAGTAATATTAATGAGGTATGTAATGGAATGTTTGATTTGATAAACTCGTCAATCATTGTATGAACAAGACTTATATTTTGGATCAGACAAAATCAAAATCATAAATTTTTCACTGTAAAAAATCTGTACAAAACATTTTATTGAAATTGTGATAATGTGACAGACACAAACTTTAAAAACAGAAAAACATCACCATACAAAGTCTCGATGTGCAGACTAACAGATGAGTGCAGTCCTCTAGTTTACAATAGCTAAAGCCCTCTAATAGAGCTGGAGAACAGGAGCTGTGGTTGAGCAGCTAAAGCCTAGTGGCTGACGTCAGTCCATAGTTGTGTGCGAGAGCCCAGAAAGGTGCTAAGCAGCAGAGCTTACAGTCTAAATGTCTACCACAAACACAACACAGCATTAACCCCAGTGACAGAGTCAACTCTACTCCTCCCACAGGTGAGGGGAAAAAACACAAAGTGGAAAACATTCTTGTTTTTATTGGACACAATAAGAGAATTTCTCAATGAAAGACAGCCTGCGCAGATAACTCATATATCTCGATGTAATACATCATACATCAACGTGTTCATCAGTCTTCGCCAGTGGCAGAGTCAAGGGATGCTGAGGGAAACGGATTGCCTCACTGTTGCGCCGCATGTACGCGTGGCCGCTGATCGGGTACAACATCTCCGTGAAGGTCAGGTTGGCCACGGTGATGGCGCAGCGCCCCAGCACCTTGAAGCCCGACTTGAGGTAGAAGGGAATGAGGAAGTCTTCGCACATGAGCACTGCCCGGCGCACGTTGGGCAGGCAGCGGAGATACTGCAGGTAACGCCACATCAGGATGGGCCCTTTGCCCTGCTGCCTGAAGGTGCGGTGGACCGCGAGGATGTGGATGTGGACGGTGGAGCCGCGGGGTTTGTGGAGAGTCAGTGCGTCCTGGAGGAAAAAGTGGTTAGACGTCATAATTACTTATATATATATACGCGTATGGTGATCGGATGGTGGACTGGGAAAGCGCACGGTGTCTTACTTCAGTGAGTCTGTCCTTGTCCCAGAGAGAGCCGATGATAAACGCCACCAGCCGGCCCTCCTCGATCCAGCCCATGGACAGCTCTGGACACAACGTGAGGAAGTGACGCACCTCATCCAGGTGGAGGGGACACTCACCTGACACTGATATAAATGCTGAGAGAAAGAGGGGGGGAGAGAGAGACCTTGGTGAAAAAATAAATAGTTTGGCACTACTTTTTTTGCACTCTAAAGGCGGTGCAAATTACCGAATAAACGTTTAGATAAATGCCGAATACAGATTTAACATCTTTAAAATGTGAATAAAAGAATATCTTTCCACTGATTTAATTAAATGCAAAAGGGTAATTAGATCTCTCCAATTGGAGATCTCGACATGTTTTTACGCAAAGTCCTCTGTCGATTTAATGCTTCCTTTCGCTCAGTGAAACTTCACAGCGGATTTGTAAGCTATTCTTCAACGGAGCGGATCTCTGCTCCACTACATCGACGGATGAGAAGAGTAACTTACCTTCTCGCTCGATTTCAAAGACGCATATGGCATCCTGCGTGTTGAGCGGTCGGACTTCGCTGGCGGGAAGAGTGTGTCTCCTTTGCATACCGGGGGAAATCGACGGTGTTGGCTGCATTGGTTTGATGAAAGGCTGCAAGCTAACGACGGACATCATACGACGGTACTCCCCTCCCCTTCTAAATAAAACTTATCCTCTTGACTCCTTCTTTCCCGCTCAGCAGGATCACCTCGGTCAGGCCCTGCGACGAGAACAGGATGGTTTGTCTCCGTATTTATAGGACAGCTTTCCCGGCTGTGACCAGCCAGCTCATTTGCATTTGAATATTTGATGTCAGTGAATGAATGAATGAATGAATGAAGGTCACAACTGTGTGGGGCAATTTACTGAACCCTATAATTAACTGCGTCCATTGTTGCTGTTTGGTTTTTGCCTCTAATTGACAGATAATAACAAATGATTTTCTATGAACCACCATCTCCCGCATATTTATAGCAGGTTTTGTCACGCATGTTAGGGAGGCACGTCCAGGATCAGCACAGAGACAGTTTACAAAAGTTTGGGTAAAGTGACACCAACATGTTCCCGGTTAAACTGCATTTCCAGACATCGCAAGTGACTGGTCAGTGCAGTAGCCTAAATCAAATATGCATGTATTTCTCCCCCATTATTGCTTTCCAACTTAATGATTAAAACAATTAAGAAAAAAAAACTTGCCACTCTTGATGTTTTCCAACACGCCCTGAAGGCTACGGGGACACTTACCGGAGGATGTTGAGCCGTGTGGTGCTGGTGAGATTCTGCGGACTGACCAGCTCCTCTTCTCTGCCTCTATCTCACCTGCTCCGCTGCAGACGTCTCTCTTTATTATGAGGTGATTATTACTATGCGTCACATGATGAAGGATTACACCTACACGAGTTGTTTCCACAACTCGGCGCATTACCGACACGTTATCTCCTCTCTGACCGAGCACAACATATGGAACAGGGCCGTGATGACGACTCATCTGATGAAGACAGCGCAGCTGCTGCAGCAGCACCGGTAAACATATACACAATCATCCTGTTTATTTTCCACTTCATTTGCAGAAGAAAATTAACTTTTTTGCGTCCATCCTGATGGTCTTCTTTTATTCAGTGGTTTTCAATCTTTTTGCACACCAAAGGCCCAAAATAAGTGCAGTCATAACACACAATATAACACATATAATATATATTCATTGATATTTATCTAAATAAATTTAACTAAATATAATCGTTTTCATGTAAATTAAGAAATTATAGAAATTGAGTGCAATTTCAATAACCCTGTCCACAACAAGACATCTAATGAATTAAGTAATTTAATATTGTTAACAAACTGGCACTTCTATGAGTTGTAATAATGGTTTGTAAACATGACAATCTTGCAGAATACAGCCTTAAATCTGAAATGTTTTGTTTCAGGAACCTTTAAGCCCAACACCCACGATCCTCTGGAGCAGCAGCGATGGCGAGCCCCTGAGTGACAGCGCGGATCTTACTGCCACGATGGATGGACACAGAATGATGGTGGACATCGGAGAGGCAGACATTTCTTTGGCCATGGGTATTGTGGTGGCCTTCCATCATATCTACAGCTGTCTGACACTCTTAACAACACATGTGCCTGAACCAGTAGCTGTGCAGTTTCAAATGCGCTGAATATTTCTTAGAAAGCACACTGTATGGTATTAGGGATGTATGCACCCATAGACTAATGGACTATAAGAGGACCATGTTTTCCTGGACACAATTGTTGTGTATACAACTCAAATTGTTTAAATGTATAGTAAGTCATTATAATGAGATGGTATCTCATAATGACTTACAGGATCTTTATTTTTTCCTCACAGTGGTGGAAATGGGCTTCCATAGTATTTTGTTTCTGACCAGTCTTAATAGATAAATAAAAGCCTTTAATGCAATTGTTCTATGTAGATGTTAAGAAACAGTAAAAAACCGAGCTCTGAACCAAGTTTCTGGACTGTTGTGCTCATTTTGGTAATCTACCCCCCCCCCCAGAACTGTTGGCTCACATTCTGATCAACAGAGTTTTAGATTGATACGCAAACACCATGTCTGTGCAAAATGTCATAACTCCACCATTTTATCACATTTGTGTGGAATTGTAAAATTAGTATATAAATTCTTGAGTTATGGGCAGAAACGTGGTTTTGTAATTTGAATTAGTTCATCCTTGAGTTTGTGACATACTCCGCTATGGCTATATGTCTATAGCGGAGTATGTCAAAAAGTCATAGTATAGTATATTAAAAAAAAGACATAATTTAGTATGTCAAAACATCTGTAAAAAGCCATGAAAAAGAATAATACATTATGTCAAGAAAGTCATAAAAGGTCATCAAAAGTCATAGTATAGTATGTCGAAAAAAAGTCATAGTATAGCATGTGGAATAAAGTCATAGTATAGCATGTCGAAAAAAGTCATAAAAAAGTCATAGTATAGCATGTGGAATAAAGTCATAGTATAGCATGTCGAAAAAAGTCATAAAAAAGTCATAGTATAGCATGTGGAATAAAGTCATTGTATAGCATGTGCAATAAAGTCACAGTATAGCATGTCGAATAAAGTCATAGTATAGCATGTCGAATAAAGTCATAGCATGTCGAAAAATTCATAAAAGTCACAGTATAGCATGTCGAAAGTCATTAAAAAGTGATAGTAGAGCATGTCGAATAAAGTCACAGTATAGCATGTCGAAAAAAGTCACAGTATAGCATGTCGAATAAAGTCACAGTATAGCATGTCGAA